AGGAACCAACATATTTATCTGAAAAGGTTAGAAAATTTCTTCAAAATGTTTAATTTTTAAAATGGGAAAGGTATCTTAAATTCACATATTAACAGTGAAAGATAAGCTTTTTTATTGGAGGGAAGGCAGATCTAAAACTTGGGGCTCTTTTCCTTTTGGCTATATAGTATTTGGACTCAGTCTGCAGTTTCCATTTCTATAAAAATCCACAATGCTTATAAGCAATTCATGATACTTTTTTGCAATGAAATTCTACATAATGTGTTCTTACATCTTCAGAAAAAAGCTACTAAGCTGCAAATTTATTTTTTATTTACTTATTTTTGTCAATTGCTTACAAGATAATTGGTTATAAGTAAAAAACATAGTTATGAATACATGGATACATATAAGAAAAATAAAAAAATAAAAGAAACAATAGGACAGGGACGGTAGGCACGTTGGTGTGCTTATGCACGCCCCCTAATCTTCTCATTAACCTTTTAATAGTCTATTGTGTTTTCATGCTGCCTGTGAACCAGGGAGACTTTCTCTTGTCTTCAAAATAGAAATTTAGAAAAACATTGGGACTCTTTAGATATGAAGATAGATATGATTTGTCAGTCAGCATGGGAAACAAGCATTCCTCCCTTCATGCTGGAAAGAAAAAAATGGACTGTCCTTCTCCAGTAGACCATTCACACTTATTCATGAAACCCACTGTCTCCTATGATACTAGAACAGCTGTTCAATACATACTATGATAAAACAAATAGATTCTGACTGTTAAAGTGTTTAAGCTAAAAATCCAATGCAGATACGTATGGTATATGGAACTCTTCCTCTATCTAAACCAGAAATGCCAATTACCTTGGGAAACACTGATTCTTATTGAAATTAAGAATTGATTGATTTACTTTCTGCGAAATTCTTGCTCTTCCCTAGTTACAAAGTTATTAAATAACTTTCCATTTGCTAAAAAAGCATTAGAGCAGTAATGCCACATAAGCTTTCACTCACCATGGATATTTGAAGCATATCATGATTGAGCCATTTAAATGTAACTTTGTAAATTTAAATAGTATAATTTTTTAAAAGGGTGCTCTTAAGAAAACTAGACTTTTTTTTCATGAAAATTGAACGCATACTTATTAGTACTAGAAACCAAAAGATATCTTGCAACTCATTTTTCATCCCTTAGCAGATTTGTGTTTAGGTAGCCCTCAAATTATGACTTTAATGGATCTTGTCCTTCACAGTTCTAAAATAGATCAGTCATGTGATAGATCCAACCTTTTTTGTGGCAGAGTTAAGTGAATCACTGCAGTCATTTACCAAATCCACAATTGCTAAACAAACCAATGGCTCACTATGGGCACAATTTTGCTAAAAAACAGAAAATACAGGTTTTCAACAAACTGTCGTAAACAGTCTCATGACCATGGGACACTGCAAACACTTGTAAATATGGCCCTATTGCCAAGTACCTAAAGTGACGTGATCACAGAGGAGGCAACCATTAGAACTTTGAATCTCAGTTGTAACTACTCCTCAGATAGGTCTGCAGAAGTTTGACCAGTTACTAAATGAATGGTAGTTAGCTGAGGAGACATCAGAAAGGTTATTAATGAAAAGCAGCAGTAAGGTCTGTAAAGAACACATTGGGTATTTATACAACTAAAGTGTTGGCTAGTAGCAGAGTTAAGCACAAGTCTAATATAGTAATTATGATTTATGGAAGTGAAATTTCTATAGTATGGTCAACATACAGTGTGCTCCTCCAGACAATGTTGGACTATATTTCCCATTGTTCCTTAACATCTGAAGAATTACATATTGTCCATTCCTGACATATATTTCTAAACTATGTTCAGATCCTCTTTAAAAAAACAGATAGACTTGTAAATCCATTCAGGAATATACTGAAAATGCATGAATATTAGACTTAAAACTTATTTTAATTCCAAGAGAAAAATTTATGAATCTTCCCTTCCAAAAGTAATCTATCCTACATAATCAACAATTTGTGGTGGTCACATTTTGACCTAAATATTATTATCTGAGCTTAAAATCCTAAGGATTTATGTTTTGTGACATAGTTTCAATAATTCCAAAATAGTAAAACAAAATGCTTTTGCATAATACTGAATTTAAATTATGTACCTTTTGAACTGCAAAAGTGTCATTGATAGCAATTCCAATGTATCTCCTACTGACTATTGCTATTATTAATTGAACATGTAGTGTTTTGCATATTGTAGCAGAGAAGCCACCAATGTATTACTTACAGTTTCCAAAACTGAGAAACTTTTTTTTGAAACTTCTCTGGTTTATTATACTCAGTTCTTCACTGTACAGAACTATTGGGAAGTCTTAGAATATTCAACACAATGCACATTCTCCAAACCAATTTCACTCAAGTATAGCAATAAAATTATAGTGTTTCATTTCAAAACCCACTTTTTTAATGTCTAATGCAAGCTATTCTTGAGCTTTATAAAACTGAAACAATATAAGAACACTTCAGAAACAATAAAAGCTGAAACATAATAGTTCAACATAATGTACTACATAAAGTGATTTAATACACAGTTAATTATTCTTTTTCACAACTAATTTACAGGAACATAATAGTTATATCAACTCAGAAGCTCAACAAGATCTATGAATCTTCAAATTTCCGGTAGCATTTCCTTCCTATCAATTTGCCAACCAATAGTCCCATGATGCAATCTTTATCATATTTTGAAAGCAGTTTCAGTTAATTGATAAATAATTAACATTAAATGAGAGATGAGATCCAGTTTGATCTAGAGTTTAAGGCACTAGACAGATACCAGGAGACCATGAGTTCTAGTCCTGCCAAGCTGGGTGACTTTGGACCAGTTACTCTCCCACCCAATCCTCTTCTCAGGATTGCTGTTGTGGGGAAAATAGGAGGAGAAAGGGTTATTATGTATGTCCATTGCTTTGAGTTACTTATAAAGTAATAAAAGATGGGATTTTAAAAAAATCATATAAGTAAATAATATACATAGAAAGTTTCCCTTCAACTCAATAGTTTAACACATCAGCAAAAAGGGTACTACATTCTTTAGTTCGTTTAAAGCAGAAATAGGATATATATATATCCTATATATATTTTCTGAGGTTCTCGCGGGTATTTGTATGTGG